GTCCTGGAACACACTCTAGGACCCTTTGGAGGCTCACCCTGCCCCCCCACCGGGCTAGAGGGGGGGAAATTGCCACCTTCTGGGGGCTCTTCTGAAGCTTTCCAAGCCTCAAAAGAGCCCCAGAAGGTGGTGATTTTGCCCCCTCTGGCCTTCGGGGGGGGGCTGGGTGAGCCTCCAAAGGGTCCTAGGTTGCGTTCCATAAGACGGACCTCTCCATAAGGCTCACCAATTTTTAGGAGAAGAAAACAGATTTTTTTCCTGTTTTCTTCTCCTAAAAATTTGGTGTGTCTTATGGAGAGGTGCGTCGTATGGAGCGAAAAATACGGTACATAGATTTAGTCCCTTATCTCTTCAGTAAAAAGTTCTTAGGTTGCAAGGCTTGAAAAGACATTTCAAGCAAGGAAACTGCTAGGATTCTCTCTCTCCTCCCCCATTTTCCTATCCATATCCAAAGAGTCATTGCCATTTTCCATGGCACACTCACCTTCCTTCTCAAGCTCCACAATTTGCTGCTCAAAGATCTGGGTACCAAACTTTGTAGTCAACTTCAACACCTCCAGATAACCATAGATTTCAGTCATTATTTTCTTGAGCTTTTCTCCAAAGGGATCCTGAGAATAAAGGATGTAGAAACAGCACATATTAGGAGAGATGCTACCTGGGCATGCAGCAATTTCAACAGACATAGTATCATCACCTCATCCGGCTGCCCCTACTTTGCTGAGTCATCATGTGTTTGTAAGAAGACCTTACCTGAAATCTTGGTAGAGACACATTATACTGCTTCTTGGGTTGCGGGACATGTTTTTCAAGGTATAACTTGTACTTTTCAGATGACATTATTTTTTCAGCATCCAGGTTGGCACAGATCTGGAACAAGCCACACAAATATTTCAGCCATTGGGAAAGCTCAGCATTAGCCTTAGTGCTCTACTATCACCAACCCACCCGCCTGGCACTGTATGGACTGGCAGAAAAGGTGAGGAGGACACAATTACTCATGCATCATTTGCAGACTTTTCTGGTGTTTGCTAGAATTCTTCTCTGAGATACCTGATCTAAGTGCAAGGAATTTTTTTGGATGAATATGCAGCCATGAAATTACCCCATCTGCAACTGAAATAGTACATCTTAAAGCAATTTCCCCATCTATTCTGGAAAAGCCATCTCATGCTATTTGTCCTGCGAGGGCAGTCAAGCAGGGTTTTTGTTTCCACCCCATTATCTGCTATGTTATCCTTCTAATTGAAGAGCTCAGATCTGTCATCTTTAGCATATAAAGGCAAGTCTGCATACTGAGCGATCTCTCCTCTGCTGCCTCTGTAAAATACTAGAAGCTCATCCTTTAGAGCACTGGTTCCCAACCTTGAGTAACTCAGGTACTCTTGGACTGCAACTCCCAGAAACTCTGGCCAGCACAGCTGGTGGTAGCTTCTGGGAACTGCAAGAACATCTGGGTTACCCAAGGTTGGAAATCAGTGCTTTAGCGAAAATGGGAAACAACCTCACTGAAGACTTGCCTCTCCTGACAGACAACTCCTTACCAGAGGCAGAGGGCCTGTGTTTGTGTGTGTGTGAAAGGGAGGGGGAAAGAGATTGCACATATGTGTATATTTAAGCAGATGCATGAATGCCTACTCTTGCCTCTGCTTCTACCTACCCTTAGTTGTTCCTCTGTCTCCCTCATCCACAACGGGTGCCAGGCAACACAAGAAATAAGCTTGCATTTGCAGACCGTAGCAATTTTTTGAACAGTGCTTTCCGGCCTTTTAAAACCCATGTCCCCGTCTGGAGAACATAAAACATTTCCTCCCCCTCAACCTCATCTTCCCCAATAATTTTGTCTGAAATATCAGTTGGGAGAGGAATTGGGAAATAGGCGGTGGGATGTTTTTCTCCCTGTTACATCATCTGGCAGTGCCCCGGAGAGGAAGAAAGATTACCAAGTGGAGGTAAAATTTAAACAGGGGTGCCACACACCATCCATACACAAATGTTCTCTACACTGCAGCATACATAAAGAAAGGCAAGAGAAATATCATTGGTACACTGTTGTGCATCATAGGACAATGCAATAAGCTGCACACTTAGAAAGAAAGAAGCATAATGGCCATCCCCTTGTTTCTTTAATTAAATATAAAATATTGAATGTGTTCAATATAAAATCCTGATTATAATTTAAATTCAGGGTGGAACCAAGCTCTGGAGAGGACATGTCTCACTGGTTGAGCATCAAAGCTATAGGAAAATCATGCAACGTAGAGGTGCGCTGGTATGTGATTTCTGATAACTCCCAGAATCCCTCAGGCAGGGGGAATTCTGGATGCTAAATAACCCCCAAAGCTACTGCAAAAGCTTAGAGGGGGGTGGCAGTGATGTCAGTGGTTCCAATCTTGGGGCGCGGTGTCTTCTGACAGGCTTACTTGCAGGATGTGGTCCTGGGCTCCCTTCAGGGAGTTAGCACCTCCAGTTCCTAGTGAGGCTGTTAGCCCCAGGATCTGTGGCAAATTCTGTTGCCCTTTCAGCTTACGCTCCAGGTAGTCCTCCATAATCTGGTTGTAGGTGGTTTCTTTGTGAGTGTGGTGGCATTCATCAATCACCAGTAATGAGAAATCTGCATGGGCGGATGGAAAACGATCAGCAGCTCGACATTTTTAGTACAGCTGGTACTGTCTGATCTACTAGTCAGGCATCTTTTATGGAAAACCTTCATAAAGAAGTTTATAAATATATGTTCCTAACTGAATATGCCATTAACACCACAAATTAACACAGACTGCATACTAAGGCAATTATCAATGACAATATCTAAATACCAAAATATCATAAAACAACAGAGCTCAAAAAGAAGCTAAATGAAAATAGTTAGATCAAACTTTTAAAAAAATACAGGCAAGGGAAGGCTCATATCTACCTGCTAGGGAAGAGATTTCTAAGAATGCGGAATCACCATTGAAAAGGCCTTAACTTTCATATCTATTAGTTTTATGGCTATTGATAACCATCAAGATGTCAAGTTCTGCAAGGCTAACTTTGGGCTGAGCACGTAATCACAGTAGTATAAAAAAAGAGGCAAGGTTATTCAGGGGAACTTTAGGAGGTGGGGTTGATTCGAGAAGTGAATGACAATCAGAGAATCTCCTAGTACAAAAGATTCTGTTACTCAGAATCTGCAGATTCTCTGTTTCTGAAAAGCAAGTGTTATGCTCTCAGGGACAACCTTAAAAGAAAAAGAGGCACCCCCTACAGAACATTTGAGGAGAGTACTAGTTAGAACTGCTAGGTAACTCAGTCGTTTAGGTATTTGGCAGTGGAGCCAGAGGTTGGGACTTTGATGTCCCACTGCGCCTCCTTGATAGGGGCAGGACTTGAGGAGTCATAGGGTCCCACCAGTTCTGCAGTTCTAAAATGATGATGATGTGACTTCACTGTGGGTAGAGAGAAGCTCCTTAATCTGTTTAGCCTCTGCTCCCTAGCCTAAGCTAAAGGTTCCCCTTGACATTTTAGTCAGTCATGTTCGGCTCGAGGGGGCGGTGCTCATCCCCGTTTCCAAGCCGTAGAGCCAGTGTTTTGTCCGAAGACAGTTTTCCGTTGTCACGTGGCCAGCGCGACTTAGATTCGGAACGCTGTTTACCTTCCCACAGAGGTGGTCCCTATTTATCTACTTGCATTTGAATGCTTTCGAACCTCTAGGTTGGCGGGAGCTGGGACAAACAACGGGAGCTCACTCCGTCGCATGGATTCGATTTTACAACTACTGGTCTTCTGACCCTGCAGCACACAAAGGCTTCTGCAGTTTAGCCCGCAGCACCACCACGTCCCTCGAGTCTATCCTCTAGGTCCATGTAAAGTAGTTTATTTGTTACCTAGCTCTGTGTAGCATAATGTAATTTCACTACCATCCAGATTGTCTCAGTGCAACAATATGAAACTTCTCTCTTAACTACAGCACTATTGTCACCTGTCAGATACTCACCTGTCAGCTCCACATGCATCTCCTCATCTTGGCTACTGAGAGCATTTTGCAGGATCTTTGCTGTACAGATGATCAAGTCATAGCCTTTCACCACGTCCGAGAAGAACATCTTCTCAGTGCTGTCACCACTGATGGCTGTTATCTTGAAGTGATCTTGAAGGAAGCTGAACTCATTCTTTAGGTGTTGGTCCACTAGAGGAACCTGTCAGGCCAAGTAGATAGAGCAGTGATTTTCCAAAACCGGAAACTGAAGCTTTGTCTTCAGTCTCCCCATCCACCCGTCCTTACCGTGTTGACTAACACAGCCACCTTGCTCTTTTCTAGGCTCTCCAGGTGCCTCTTACAGACATAAGCAGCTGCTCTGGTCTTTCCTGCACCGGTTGGAAGCCATATGATGATATTTTTGCCCTCCAGAGCAGGCTCAATGACTTCCCACTGATAGTCACGAAGATCCATTTAGCTGCACTTCTGAAGTCCTGTGGACTGATGTTAAAAAGCAAGAGCCAAGTCACTTCAACAAAACTATAAGTCACCATGTTTTCATGTCTTCTTGAGACGACATTTCTGTCTAGTAAACTCTGTGGTACTGAAAGGATTGCACAGTGAACAGCTGTATAAAAGAGATGTAGACAGTCTGAGAAGAGGCTGGTGCAGCTAAGAAAAAAACAACAATTATGGACAGGCGGGAGAGTAATCTAGGATCAAGGGGAGAGATCTGAAAGGAATAATGACAATAAGATGAAAGCTGGGGGGATCACCAGGGTCAGAAAAGTAATTGTCCAATTAGAATTCTTCCAGGAATATTACTGGGCTCCAATTCTAAAAGACAGAAGAAGTGACAAAGCAGGTGTAAAAGCAACTAAATATTCTTAGTCAAATAGGTTACTAACATCTTTGACTGACAGAAGTTTCTTCCTTTGGGGAAATCGAGAATTAAACGGATGCAGTGGTTCGTTGCTCTTTTAAAAGCTGACCTGCTCTCTCCTGCTTTGTTTGTGACCTCCCGTGTTGCCTTCAGCTATTGGCAGGCCTCTCCTTGCCTTTTTAATCTGCAGGAACCACTGTTGCCTGAAGCTCTTGTAACTGACAAGAGAGATGGCCATGGCTCATGGGTTGGTCAGTGTCAAGGGAAAGGTTTTCTATAAATAAGCCAAGTCATGTTTATTCTTGATATGTTCAAAGAGAAGTTATCCATGAAGATTCAGAACAAGTTCTGAATGTAAGACCTGTCTCAGATCAAGATCTGGGACATTTAAAGAAGCACAATAAAACCAATTGTATAAATTTTAGAAGAGGTAGTCGTATCGGAGCAAGCATATCAGGCAAAATACAAAGAAACAAAAATATATGTCAGTGGGATATATGGGAGGGGGTCAAATGTATATAAGGTCCCACTGCCTCGGCAGCTTAGCTCAGCAGCCCTGCACAGCAGAGGGCAGCTGAGAAGAACCCCTATCCATGGGTTAGAAAATGTCTAGTGGTATCTTGAAGACTAACGGATTGACTATTGCACAGACTAGACACGGGAGATTCGTCTTCGATTCACAGGACGAATCTCCCATGTCTAGCACAAACATTTGTGGGCAGAACCCTCTATACCAAAGATATGAAGAGCTTATCCACAAGTCTAATCTCTCCTTCACTGACACACACAAACACACTTGTTTATAGAGAAGAAAGGCTACAAAACAAAGAAAATGGGGTGTGTGACATGTTTAAGGAAAGCTCAAATGTATACAAATAAACATAGTGACAATTCACACGAGCAATAACTAAACTAGGCACTCTTCCAAGATTTGCATAAGTTAACACCTTGGTTGCCAGTCAGCGCTAATCAAGCAGGATTATACTTCTATTTTAACTCAGCAATTTCAACCGGGAGTCATCTTTCCAAGTTAATCATCAACTGCTCCGACGTCCTTTGCTTGGAAGTAATTACCTCCTTTACATAAACCAAGCCCCAGTGAACTGAAGGGTCTACTTCTGAATAGAGATGAAATCCCTCCATCCTGGATCATCTATCCCCCAAATTCCCCTCTTACCTGTCCTTATTTAGATCCCGGAACTCTTCTAAGCAGAGGAGCTGCTACTTCTGTGACACTTCCTCTTTGACACAGCTTGACATTTCCCCCTCTATCGACTGCTTTCTGCACTTTCGTTCTTGGAAGAAAACGAAACTTAAAAAACCCTTTCTTTTGGAGCCCCAGCTGGGGGGGGGGGTCGACAGCCACAAAGGCTTTTCAGATTAACTGTGATGAAAAGGCAGCTAGCCTTTTCAAAAGAGCTACCTGGGAAGGAGATACTACCCTGTTTCCCCGAACATAAGACTTAACCTGAAAATAAACCCTAGAATGATTTTTCAAGATGCTTGTAATATAAGCCTCACCACCAAAATAAGCCCGTTAAGTGAAACCCTGCTCTCCACCACTGTGCAGCAACCAGAAGATGACATAACTGTATTTGAAAAAAATGTAGATTGCTGTACATAAAAAAGACATCCCCTGAAAATAAGCCCTAATGTGTTTTTTGAAGCAAAAATTAATATAAGACCCTGTCGCATTTTCAGTGAAACACAGTAGGTCAGTTAGCCCGCATACCTTAGGAAACAGCTCCACAAGGGGAAAAAAGACACTCCACCTTCCACCTGTCACTCTCCTGAAGCCTTCAATTGCCGAGGGTCCCAGTTCATCTGTAGCCACCTAATTGCTTCAAAAATGTAACAGGAAATGGATGAATCCCCATCCGCTCAGAACTGGTGGTTTTGATTTCCAGCCAGCTGGACAGGTTAGGTTGGATCTCAGGGCCAACATTCAAGGATACAAGTGACCAACTAGGTAGCAGGAGGTGATGGTGAGACACCAGCAATCACCACAGCACCAAGTGTCTTAAAAACACCAAGTATCTTAAAAACACTTTATAATGAAAGGAAAGGACAGCGGTCCAAGGATAGTGTATAGGGTTACAGATACTCATTTTTATTAATTATTTTACTTTTAAAACTGTCATTTCTTTTTTTTTTTTTTTACAACAATAACTGATGTATATTTTCAGATAACAGATACTCATTTTTATTTATTATTTTACTTTTAAAATTGTCATTTCTTTTTTTTTAACAACAATAACTGATGTATATTTTCAGATATGATGTCATGGTTACATTGCTGTACTGTGATATGGAAGACTCCCATCAAACCATGAAATTAATGGGTTGATCTTGGGCTAGTCCCTCATATCAGCCTGATTTACCTCATAGGTTTTTCTGAGGAAAAGTGGTGGAGTAGATAAAATGCATAGATTGCCTTGAGGTTATTGGGAGAAAGGTGGAATAGAAATTAAATGTAAAAGCACCACAAAATATTAAATCAATATGTTTTTTAGGACTGGGTGAGAGAGGCAGGCTCCCCTTCATTCCTGTAGTCATGATGGCACAAGGATTTCAGTTGAAAAGGGAAAAGTGCAAAGTCTCAGAATGTTCTTCTTGCTAAACAGTGGTTTTGCTTCAGTGTGTCTGGAATGTAGAAGCCATTGTACAACATGGGGTGATAGGAGCAGGTGGGAGAAGAAGTAAGTTAACCAAATGCTTTGCAACTGAAGTTTTATATACACACATATATACACAGTATATATATATATACATACACAGAGTGGTGCCTTGCATTACGACATTAATTCGTTCCAGCGAAATCGCTGTAGAATGAAAACGTCGTAATGCGAAATAAAAAAGCTCATAGAAATGTATTAAAACCCTATTAAAGCGTTCCTATAGGCTTGAAACTCACCGTCCAGCGAAGATCCTCCATAGTGCGGCCATTTTCGCTGCCTGTGCAGCGAGAAATCCGTCCCAGAAAACAGCAGGGAGCCTTTTTTTTTTTAACCTGGGGGCCATTTTGAAACTGCTGATCAGCAGTTTTGCGAGAATCGTCGTTTTGCGAGAATCGGTTCCTGAAGCAGGGAACTTGATCATCGCAAAGCGAAAAAAAACCCATTTAAAACATTGTAAAGCAATCGCTTTTGTGATCACAAAAAGTTCGCCGTGATGCGATTTTGTCGTTAAACGGGGAGCTCGTCTTGCGAGGCAGCACTGTGTATACATATCAAACTGAACATCTTGTCATGTTGTTGGGACCATTAAGTCTAGGGCCTAAAACTATATAGTCACACCACTGATCCTGATTCGTAATAGCAGCTCATTAATTCCATCAAATTCAACAGACCTCTGAAACTGATGAAACAGGATTCCAAGTAAACTGCCTAGATTTCAAAGGTCTTTTATTAATGAAAGGTTATTCTTCAAGTCATCCTATGGCCTTCTTACAGATATTAAGGCTCAATCCCTTTTTCAGAGAGTAAGCCTGATCCTCAGAGAGAAAGCTAAAAAACAAAAGCCTAGCATCCATCAGGTAAGTTCAGAGAACAAAGAGGTTAGCTAAGCTTCTCCAAAGACCACCGCTGCATTGAGATAAGCACTCCAGTAGCATTTGTACAGGTTAAACCTCTGAGCCACTGAACTATTGATCGAAAGATTGGCAGCTCAAATCCGCTCAACAGAGTGAGCTGTTGCTTGTCCCAGTTCCTGCCAACCTAGCAGTTCAAAAGCATGCAAATGTGAGTAGATGAATAGGAATCACCTCACTGGGGAGGTAACAGGGTTCAGTGTCTAGTCATGCTGGCCATGTGACCATGGAAAGTGTCTACGGATAAACGCCGACTCTCTGAATTAGAAACAAGGATGAGCACCAGCTTCTAGAGTCGGACACAACTGGACATAATTGTCGAAGGGAACTTTTGACCTTTACCTTTAGCATTTGTACATTTACTCCTGTCTTGTAAAGTCACTGTTCCTTCTCGAGTGGATATTACCAAGATTTCAAAAGTCCAAAAGGAACTGTTTGCTGGAGTTAGAAGACAGATATATTTAAGTTCAAACTGCAGTCACAGCAAATTGTACTTTGGCTTGTTTTAAGGGGTTTTTGAGCGATTTGGACAAGTGGGATATTAGTAATGTTGTATCTATTAAATTCAGGGGGATGTTTTTTTGAAAATTTTAAAGACTTTTTAATATTGTTGTGTGTTTGCTTTAAAAACTTATGATGTTTTGAATTGTGACTATGGTATTTTTTAACTGAGGCTCTTATGGTGAGAAAGGCAGGAAATGAACGAATGAATGAAATGTGTCGCCACTGGCATTTATACCTAGTCAATTTTGATTGGCATGCTAGAACCATTTACCTAGTGGTAAGCCCCATTGAATGGAATGGTTCTGGGGATGCCTCCCTTCCCCCCTAATTCCTTTCAGAGTTTGTAGTTTTTTAAAGGACATGTATAATTACTGTATATAAATGTCTCTGTCAAGTTCTCTCTCCTCTCTGTTCCAAACAAAAAAGCCCAAATGTTTAGAACTTTCCTCAAAGAGAAGTTCTCAGCACAGACAGGGACTTTCTGAAGCTATCATGTGTTGAAAGGAAGTTATTAATAGTAACTTCAGTCAGCTTTTAGTCACATTCTCATCAGTAGTTCCTCTTGTGGATAGTAGCTTGTTAGAAACCAGGAAGCAGTGTAAGAATAAGTGAATTATTGTTATATGTTTTGTGTGTATGTGTGTAAGAATTAGGATCATTTGAAAAACTGTTTTGGGACTAGTGCTTTTTTGTTTGTACATTTTTTGGATTTAAGAGCGAGTGGTAAGGTAGCCGCACTTCTTGATACCACTTGACTTGACCACTTGAAAGCCACAGTTCAGTTGTTTCCTGATTTGGGTCAATAGTTTGAAACAAGAAAATAATTCCTGAAGTTTTACCAAAGTTATGAAAACAATAAATAACTTAATACTTTATCCATATCAGAGTATTGCACAATTTAAAATTAGGGACGTATATGAAATATAGGCAAAACAAATAAAAATGTTAACAAGACTTGGACTATTCTGGACCATAAGTGGGTTACTTTATCAATAGCGTTATCTCAGCAATTTGCTAGATCTGATTTTGTACATGTTGTGCGTTCTGTGCCATCATGTCAGAAACAACTTACAGTGATCTCAATAGGGCTTTCAAAGTAAGTGAGAAATGTAAAGAGTGCTTTTAACCATTCCACTCCCCCAGTGAGTTTTCATGGCCACGTGGAGACTCGAACCCATTTCTCCACAGTCCTAGTTCTTCTCTTTATCTGCTACACCACATGGGCAATCCTTTGTACACATGGTGGGTCCAGATGAAAGATCAGGACCACACCCACCAGAAAAACCACTGTTAATGACTTGAAGACCCATGACAATGGATGGAGAAGGACTGCAGAAGTGGGATTTGCACTCAACCTCCCCCATCCTTGTGTCCACCTAATGAGCGTATTCAGACCAGGGGAAGTGAAATCAGGAGTCTCCTACCAACTCTCCCAGACTGAAGAAACTACTTGGACGAGTAGCGAAACGTTTCAACCTAATAAGAAAGAAGTCCGGTTGACATGACTCAACTGCCAGATAATCTCACCTGGATGACTGGGAATTTTCAGATGTATGGTGGGCCGTACGTTGTATGCATAGAAGTGCTGCACTGATTGATTTTCTCCACAGTCACAGAAAATTTGTCCAGTATCCAAGAATACCCATTTTACTTGATTATTCTTTGCTCTTCCTACTGCTTCAACAGAGATTGTCTCTTATTTCCGATTTTCTGCTGAAAAGCTGCTCTTAGATAAGGTATTCTGAATTTAAAAGAGCTCTTTGCTTTGGCCAGGGGGTGGACTGGTGGTGAAATCCTCCGTCCACAAACAGCAATCTTGGATCTTTCATTCACCCTTATGGCCAGCTCTCACTTCTGACCCGGAGAAAATTAAAAAACAAAAACAAAATTAAAATAAAACCAAAACAGAAAATTGCAATGAAAACCAAACACTCAACGCATCTACGACTGTTCCTGAAAACGCCCTAAGCAAGGCCATGCCCTGCAATATGTCCTCTCTAGGGGGAGCAGGCGAACATCAAAAAAAACACCGCACTACAACTCCCGGCACGCATTGCGGAAAAAGCTTCTCTTGGGATGGCGGGCCCGCCCGCGTAGAGCCTGCTGGGAGTGAGCGGGGCCGGCGTCAATGGTCGGCGGACGGGGAAAGGTGGGATCGCGAGCGCCCTTCCCTGCCGCCTCCTCCTCCCCCATTCATTGCCGTCACCTCCTTCTCCCTCCTTTCCCTCCCCTCAGGCCGCCGCCGCCGCCGCCATGGAGGCGCTGAACCCGGTCATCAACAAGCTGCAGGACGTCTTCAACACGGTGGGCGCGGATATCATCCAGTTGCCGCAGATCGTGGTCGTGGGGACGCAGGTGAGGCGGGGAAGCCGGGCAGCGGGCGGGCGGGCAGGCGGGGCCTGAGCCAGGGTGACCTCAGCCTCGGGAGGGGGGCCAGGAAAGGCCCGGGGGGGTCGGCAAGAGGAAGAAGGGATGCCCTTGGGGGACCCTCCAGGGCCGAGTAAGGGGGGGGAGAGGAGAGGGGAGGGGGGTCCTCCAAAGTCGAAGCGTGAACTGGATTTTTTAAATGGTTGTTTTTTGGGGGGCAGCTACCGCAGGGTGCCTGAGAGGGTCGTGAGAATATCCCTCTCACTCCTCCTTGCGAATATTCCTGGGGGTTATGAATTATTCGTTGTCCCATCAGAGCACATGATGATTAGCGTGCAAAAGCACTTTACACCCTCCGCCTGGTTTTTCTCCTCACAACGCGTTCAGGTCATTTCCCAGATGGGCGACCTGGGGCGGAGAGCATCTGATTTGCAGGTCTTGCCCCCTCATGTCGATATTTCAATAGCAGTCCTTAGAAGGAAAAAGGATGTCTGGGTAACACCTTGAAGGCGCCGGCTGGAGTTTTTTTTACGGTTTCGTGGTGTCACAATAAATTGCCTCCTTTAAGCCTCCCGCAGGACTCCGTCCTTCTTTGCATTTACTGTAAGGGATGTAACTGTTCCTTTGAAGGGCTTGAGTTTTAAAAAACCCGTTTATTGATACTAGGGACTAACATAACAAGCTGTGGCTCCCTGGTTGTCCGTTTTCCTAACAATATCTGAGTGTTTGTTCCATTCTTGAAAGTGGGATGTTGGGGCTTAGATAGACCTTTGTTTCAGGCACTTAGGAAGTTGTGCTCTTTTTAAAGATAAGGAGCAAAATATCTCAGTTCAGTAAATGTAAAAAGAAAGAAAAGTTATTGCAAAATCTCCTGCCTTGTGAGCTTGGCCCTGTACTGATCCTCAGTTGTGTGTTAAATCTTGACCTGACAACAACCCTATAAAGTAGGTCAGTAGTGTAAGCTAGGAACCGAAGCTGTAAGAATATACTGTAGTGGTATCAGTTCCTAGACAGGAATGGATTTGAATTCAGACCTTCTAGATCCAAGCTGTCTTCAGCTGTGTGAGTTGGTTCAGGTGACGAGAACAAAGCAGAAGGTGTGAGAAATCCTGCACAGAACTTTGAGTCCTTTTATATATAAACTCTTGGCCCTCCTAAAGGGCAGCAGGGCTGGTGCTGTCAACATCTTGCTGGATAATAAGGAGGGAGTGCTGTACTTTTTTGGAGAAACGGCATCATTTATGAAATATGGTCAATGAACCAAGGATGTAAAACTGGAAGCAGTAAGAGTGTGGTTAGCCCTGAAGAATAAGGAATGGGAGAAATTAGTGTTGCAAAGGATTAGAAGGCAGGCAGATCAAAAGATTCAGGGATATGGGTTTGATAACAGTGATAATATGAAGAATGAGGAGTGGATCTCAGTGGTAGATTATTACTGTGAGAGTTGTACAGTATGTGCATCATACTCAAAATGTGTCAGTTACAGACAATCTAATTTGAATTGAACTGAACTGAATTCTGCAAACTCTTACATGGAATATATTTATTATCCCATATAATTTTAGGATGTATGTCTCCTTTCCTTGCTAGTCAATGCTGGGCCAAGACAGTTGGGTGCTACTTTCTTTCTTCACTAAGTAAAAATCTCATTGAGACATTTCTCTTACACTCTGAAATACCAGCAAATGTGAAGGATAGATATTTTTTGCAGCCAAAAGGGTTAGAAAAATTGATTTGAGATAGAGAAGGAAGGAAGGATGGGATTTTGAAGAAACTGAGTTCTATTTTCTGTGATGCTTCTGAGTTTATCTAAGTGACAGCATGCACATATCAGTGATCAGTGAACATATATGAAAAGTATAGACATTAATGAGGAGAAATGAGAGGATATTGGTAACAGTTTTTATCAGTTTTTTCTCTTGCTTACAAAATTCATCAATATGCTCATAAATGAAACTGTTTCTTATAATTTTGTAATCTGAGTCCTTGCTTTCCATAGCAAAAAACCAATTCAAATATACATGCTTTTAAAATGTGCAACAAAAATGTTACAGAATTTCTGAAATGTATTAAAATTTTCAGATTAAAGCAGTGGTGGGCAATTTTTACCCTCCAGATGTTGCGCTGCAGTTTCATTCCTCACTGTTGGCTATGCTGATTGAAACTGATGGAAACTAGTCCATCAGTATCTCCAGGGCCACAGTTGCCCATCGTTGGGCTAGAGTGACCTAGCTATGCAGAAAAGGGAGGAGGAGTCTCCAGTTTCAGAAATTACTTCAGTTTCTCTTTTATATACAGTACTGTATAAACTCCTGGCCTTCCAAAAGGTTTGGATTGTTAGCTTCCAAATTCAGCAACAGATTGTAGTGAGTGCAGCCATTAAGTCAAAGAGATTTTGTTTTTGGCAGGAGTACAGACTTAATCTTGTTTGGTGGTATTTGAAAGAATTAGTATTAGGGATTGACCATTACTTCTTATGTGACATATGTATCCATTGTTCTGCTGATATCAAAGTACAGTATTAATATACATCATGATTGCCATGAAGGACATACATGTACACATATCACTGCTTTTTTCTTTAAAATACACGTTAGAAGGTTCCTGACCCTGTTCCTGTGCATTCTAGGTAGAAAAATTGAAGTGGTGGGAGCATGCTAGCCCTCCTTTCTCCTTGTTTTGCTCATTCTTTCTATATGGAGGACAGCATTTTCAAATTGAGAGCCTCCTCTCTCCACTCGACCAACAGACGCCAAGGCAGAAGTAGACAGGAGTAAAATTCTTCCTTTCCTCGTATGTTTACCCTGCTTGGAGAGACAACAGCTGAAAATTGCTACAGCAAATTGCTGTCTTGTTAATTCTTGTAATATATAAATATAAAACTCCTTAAACTTGAACTGCTTTGTTGATACTGCTGTTAATCAATACCTGATACCCATTTTTTAAAGAGTAAGTCTCCAATGTAGTGTAGTGGATAGAGCAATGGACTACAACTCAGGCAACTTGGGTTTGAATTCTCACAGGACCATGAAGACGTTGATGGCACTTGTAAATCCCTTCCTTATGTATCACAATCATCTTGCAAGCCCTGTTAAGAGTCCCTATAAGCTGGTTCCAACTTGACAGCACGTGACAACAGCAATAAGAATTTTGTACTGTATTTTAGATTTATGGAAAAGTGCAGTTCTGTGCATTTTAATGCAGAAGTAAGCCCACCATGTCCGGTGAAGGTTATGTCTTGTTTAGTGCAGACAGGATTATTGCTCTGAAAGGTTCTAAAATGGTATACATACACTGCCTACAAAGATGAATTATCTTATCAGAAGGGAATAATTTGATTGGGACTTTATAATCTTGGTGTGATGATGCCTTCTCCAGTGCAGTACACCTAAACTCACATTTCTAGAACTGGGAGGGAGTATACAGATTGGTTAATTTAACAGATTTTTTTGTTATCATTTGCTTCTGTAAAACCCCTAGGATAGCTAACAATTAACGTGGGTCCATAGTAGAACAAATGCATAAAATTAAATGTTTTAATAAAATTAAATGATCAAGGCCTTTGTGATGATGGGTTCCTCAGCCCTGCTTTGGAGGCTGTAGTTACTGTACTTAGAGACATTGACTGAGACATTGACTGCTCTGTTCAAGGCCTGGTTTATGGGTCTTCAGTTTTCTTGATATTTTAGGAGGGTCTTCTACATCTGTCTGTCCTAGCCTTCATACTTATTTTGTTATGTATTTTGATTTCTTTATTCTCATGTACTGATTTGCTTGAAATACCACATTTCCTTTGGATGTAGCTTAACTCAGTGCTGAATATTTTCAGTGTCCCCTGTGTTTCTTCCTCCTCCATTATCTTCCTTACTTTGTGCTTCACTGATACAACTTTTCCTTGAAAATACGCTCTGTTGAACTTCAGTGACCTAATTTTTTATTCTCTGTAGACATGGTTTAGTCCTATTTAGAATTAGTGCAGTATTACACAGATGCCTTCACCTTGCTTTTTCAGCTGTGTTTTATTGCAGATGAAAATTTAATGTTAAAATTATTTTTTTTAAGATCAAGGGACTTCCATATAGTCATTGAGTGATCTAATATTTTTATATGGACAGGGAACTACAGTAGATGAAATGTATTGATGTTGTAACTCCCCATTCTGAACAATTGCTTTTGAGGAATTGCAATCTGGTTCTGAGGAAGGCATGAAGGTTCATGTGAGGTGAGGCAACTTCATTCCCTTTAGGTATTCCCAGTCTTTGGAAAGATTGTATCTCCTATTTATATTTGCGATTCACATGGTGTTCCTTGTCTCTATTGGAGCCTGCTGCATCTCTCTCTCTCTTTTTTCTGTCTCCTGGAGAATTTCTACAACAGAGCCCTTAATACAACAATAAGCCATACATTGCTGCATATAAATGTGCCATATGTATATTTAGAATATTCGCTCATGAAACTGATATTTCATTCAACTTTTCACTTTGTTTCTATGTCTGACGAAGCTGACATGTCCTTGAAAGCTCACATTAAAATATTTATTTATTTAACTTATATGCCACCCACTCTGCCCAAAGGTCTCTGGGCGGCTTACAACAATTATAATACAATAAAAAAGATAAAGCAATTAAAATACAATTAAAATATATACTCTAAAAATTGCCATCAGGACCCACAGTTGATATTATTTCAATTAAAAGCCTTCTGGAACAGGAACGTTTTGACCTGGCAGCAAAATGTCCTCAGCGTCGGCGCCAGACGAATCTCAGTCGGGAGGGCGTTCCATAGTCTGGGGGCAGCTGCCGAAAAGGCCCTTTGTCTACAAGCCATCCCTCTTACCTCCTTAAGGGACAGCTCTTTCAAAAGGGCCCCCTGGCTAGATCTTAACTCCCGGGTAGGTTCATATCGAAGGAGGCGGTCCTTCAGGTATCTATGGCCCAAGCTGTTTATTTTATTTATTTATTTGATTTGATTTTTAATACCACCCATCT